CACACAATATAAGAATTTACAGCCTTTTTTTACTTGAATGCAAAAATGAACTTAAAAGATGGTAATCACACTAGGCTAGTCAAGATAATTAAACCCCAAGCAATAATTCAAATCAATTAATTGATAATCTACAGTAATACATTTATCCTACAGTATTAATAAACAATTTAAAAACAAAAAAACAATTGTAAAGCACTACATTATAGTTCTGTATTTGTAACACATTAATTCACAAAGAAAAATAAAGATTACTCTGTCATAATAATAAAAGTAGTATTAATTTTTGTATTTTATGTCATGGGAAAAGGTACAGTAGTACAGTGTTAATTTTTGTATCATATGTATAATTAATAATGTTTTTTAATTAATTTTTTTTAAAAATATTCAACATCAAGTAAACTGCCAAATACAGGATGGAACATGGACATCCCTTTATGCGGCATATAGGGAGTGCGATTAGGGCAAGCATCTTAATCACACTATACAAGTTCACAACAAAACAGTAAACAACATTCAATTTTTTTACTTCTATTTTTCTTGTTTAAAAAGTAAGCCCAATTATGCCAAACACTGCTTTCCATTTGGCCCTTAACCAAGGAATGGCAAAAAAGCTTAAAAAAATAACCAAAACAAAATGTCAAAATGATTCTTCACAATCACATTGACTATACTACATATATCGATGGTAACATCACTGCACCCTGAATTTTGAGTTTAAAGAGAGGAAAAATTGTATCCATGAGTTCAGTGGCCATCCAGCAGTGGAATGAAAGGATAGCTTGATTATTTCCCACTTAATACAGTATTTACACCAATTATTATCATTATTATTATTATTATTATCGAGAACGATCATAATACAATATATATCAGATATTCACACGATGTGCATTAGAAACCGCTATCGAAACCGTACGGTTCCGTGGAGTAACTTGTTCACTAACAATGGTTTGTTTGTACTGTACAGTATTTGTTTTCTCCAGTAAACGTCGCAAATAGGGGCCTACAGAAGCTGGTACATGGTGTTATTATCATCAAAATAATTATAACTCCATGGCTGGTATCGATAATGCTTACTGGTGTTTATTTCAGGATTAGTCAGTTCTATATTGATGTTAGCTTTCGAATAAAGGTATTATTGTCTGGAAATCCTGGCATTAGTCGAGGGTCTTAATTTGCGGGGGTCTGATATTTCAAGTGGGTCTGATATCTCGTGGTCTTAGGTCTTAGCTTTCGTGGTCTGAGCTTTCGGGGCACCCCACTTCCAGATGCCTAAAAATGGCACTGCCAGGCTACAAGTTACGAAGCAGAGCGCTGGATGAGGTCGCTAATGCTTGAGGTACAAAATTGGAAGATCAGTTAAATGAACATACTTAACCCTTTTATTTTGGTACATGTGGTGATACCCATCTCACAGCTGCCTTCAAGGAGATGGGTTAGCTTTCGGGAGAAATTTTGAGAGTGTGGGAGTCCATTCTGATTTTTGGGAGGCTCCTGTGGTTTGTAGGAGACTTTAAATCCTTGCTCATGAACATGGTGGTGGTTTACTACAGTACAGTATTACAGTGCTTGGACTATTTTTTTGTATACAATACAATCATACTATGCCTACATAAAAATTTATGTAATTAAATAATAAAGTTAAGAGAAAATGTGGGTGTCAGTGTCTTATTTTATGGGGGAAAATAATGAATGGTAGATTAACGTCAGTGAGATTTGATAAAATATATAAAATAATATTTTTAATTGGGGGTTATTAAATAATGATATAAAGGTGGTGTATTTAGAGCTGTCAAGTCTCACGCATTTCTCGCGGGAGTCCCACGCACTTTACTTCGATCTCACACAAGACCTATATATTCTCGCACATTCCAGAATTTCTGCAAATTATATATTTTTAATGTGCTATTTTCTCAAAACAAGCATACAGTACTGCATGTACAAACACGACTATCTGCGCTAGCGTAATCGTCAGTGTTCAACGCTACCTCCTAGTGAGTAGAGTAAGTTACTGTATGTCTGAGTGAGCCAATCAGTGATGAGCTGACATAAATGCCACAAAGCAAGATGTCTGACATTTAAGGCGGTAATGATGGAGATGCAACTCCGCCAAAAGGGCGGGCCTATTTCCACTACAAATTGAAGTTGGTAAATGTCGACGCTTGACTGTATTTTCCTTAAGGTTTGTGACCTCGAGCATAATTAATAAAAAATAATTGCCCAATCTCTAGCAAATTTAGAAGAAATCTCAAGCAAGCCAGTGTGAGACCCTTGTCTTCAAACATGGTCTGAAACAATTTTCTTTCCACCGCCTCTTCTTCATTTCTTACTTCACTCTCGGGTTCTGTCTCATCAAGCAGTTTGTTCCAGGCTCTCAAAAGGTTATGTTCTTCTAATGTTTGTCTACTAGCAGAAGAGAATACCCTAAACCCAGAGCTGCAGAGTTGGTATTTTATTTGTCAGTGACCTCTCGTAGGTGAATCAGCAGGAAATATTGGATGAAAATATTGGATATGAAACATTTTCAGCAGTAGCTGAACTTGGGTTTATACCTGGTTTTGTAGGCTGTACTGATTATAAAGGCTGTACAGTCCAGGGTTGAGTATTTGATAAAAATAACATTGAATTCAAAGAAAGCCTTCAGTAAAAAAAAATTAGTGCAAAGGTGTGCACCCCGATTTTGAATATATTTCACTTGACTTCCTGTAATATGCTTTTTTAGACTTGCCTCCATAAGGTTATTGGTATCTACCTACTACGTCAATGCTCTCTATTAATATTTTAAAAGGTTATAGTTTCGTACAAGGTCTTGCAAAACCAAATTTAGTTCCTATGTATGTAAATGCAAAGGAACTCTTGTAATCACTTTTTGTGTATGTGTGTGTTAAATTGCGCTTGTCATTTCATGACATCTGACAGTTATTTACCTGGTCAGGAGTGAAAATTTCAAAGCAAACAAGGAAATCTTGCATGTTTCTGGAATATTGACCAGGTCATGACAGGAATTATTATAATAATATAATACAGTGGAATTCTGTAGAAATAGGAGACACTTAACACAAATTATGTTGAAACACTTTTGATATTTTAGTACCAACTCTCAAGAAAGTAACATCCCAGCTCAATCGTAAAGAACGAAAAAACATGGACATTAATAGAAATTGGCCCTTATTAATTTTTGTACTGATAAAAAGAATGAGCTTAGCCAAAGTACTATAGGCTTTTCTCAGCCTTCTAAATTTGCCCCGAAGTTCTAAATTTTGATAGAAAAAAACAAAAACAAAATGAAACAAATCAATCAGACACTAACTTTGTAATGAAATTATTATTTTTTAATTTTGAAATTGAGTAAGAATGATTACTTAATAATTAGTGTTCAGTGGGAACAGTGAGTGGTTTGATTTGAAAGTTGATAAAGCTGAGTAGATGCTTTTACCACTCTTGTCAAGCCTCAGTTGTTCTGTGGTCAGTCATTTCATCCTAAATCTATAGTAAAAAAACAAAACAAATCCTTACACTTGTGGTTCATTGACAAGTCAGGGCAGAGTAGGCTCACTCTGGGCATTGCTAATGGTATGTTTTAACCAAATTTTGGGAACAATAATTTTTATATAGTTCTGCAGTGCCATATACACTATGGATGTTAGGTTTCTATCAGAAAAGACTTTATATTAGGGAAGGTTGTATCTTATGGTTGGTTTCTTGTGTTCAGATGAATCATTTTCTATACTATAGTGAGTTTAGGTTACCCAGTCATCAAGACTGATTGACTTCACTTTATTTGACCCTGTAGTACTAATGAGTGCAAGCTTCATTAGACCAGCATAAACAAAAGTTTTTCATAATGTATTTGTAAAAAGTTGCTGATCTGCGGTACTTTAACTATAGCCAGTCTGCATTTATAGTGTTTATCTTGATAAATAACTTTAAGTTTGTATGCAAGTTTACCCTGAAAAGCAAAACACTTACAATTATTGGTACAGTGGTTGTCATGCATTGTGTAAATGGATTGTACTGTATGTCATTGACACACTGTGGGTGTGTGCCGCTGTAATGCTCTGCCAGTAAAATGGGTTTAGGTGAGATATTAAAACTAAGATTTTAAAAGATTGGGAATATTGATAAGTACTTTTTAAATTTTTTGTATTGTATCTGTCTTCCACGCCTTCACTATACTGTATGCAGCAAGCAAAAAGAATTTCATTTATTACATGTTTGGTTTATAATTTAAAAGCAATCTTGTATCTTGAATTGCATTTTTAACTATATTTGTTTTAATAGTCTGGTGCTTCATTTTTTTTATTATTGTTATACTATTGCTGCATGTCCGAGGACATTGTATCTTATGCCAAATGCTTATGTTGTTTTCTGAACAAGACATAGAACCATCATCATTACTGGTACATCGTCAATAGGTACAATGTTTTCATCCATCAGCAATGTTTAAAGTGTTTAATTCAAGAAGTTATGGAGATCATCAAAATTGTTTGCTAGGTTTTCAGCAAGGTGTTTAGCACCTAATCTTTGGTTTTTTCAAGGTTTATCAAGACAACAGCAGTAATGTTTACAAGGCATTTAGGAGGTCATCACAAGCTATTTAACAGCATTTAGAAGATTAGCAATGTTGTTTTAACTTTAAAATTAAGGGCTTAATTAAGACATCAATAACAACAACATGGTTTTTGTACAATGACCATCATCAAGATGTTTAAAAGGTTACATAAAACCAATGACAAGATGACCACACTATGTTGTTTGACAGCTTAAGTGGGAAAAGTACTTGCTCGTAAAGCCACACCGAAAACCTAAAAATGGTAATTGAACTTGCTCAGAGACTTCCACAATTAACATACAGTAGCACCATTTTCTGTTTGGTAAACATCTTTACATACAGTCGTGCCTGGTATGAATCCAAAATGTGAACTGGCTTCACTGATTAAAAGATACACATGCATTTATTGCCATTTTATTTTAAAGTTTTATAACAATTTATTTTTGTACTACAGTTGATTCATAGTAACCAGTCAGAAAGTCATCGTGCAAACAGATCACATACAATGCAACATCAGAAGACTAAGTCTGGCACACAGAAGTCACAACCTCTCAAATGCCTTATCAGCGAATCAAATTTGGTTTTATATGAGAAGTTGGGAGATGGTTCTTTTGGATATGTTAGAAAAGGTGAATGGACATCACCCTCAGGAAGCAAGGTAGGATTTCTTCTTTATTTTTATTTTTTTCGTGATTTTGAATTTCTAGTGTGCCACCCAATGATGCTAATAGGGAAAAGATGGCTAGCTGTTTGAGATGTAAATTTATAACTTATAGTATAATATGGACAGGAGTTCAATAAACAAGTCATCAGATAGTTGAAATTTTCTTTATGTCATGTTTGACCTTTTGTTGATCTTAATAATTTTAGTACTAGTAATAGGGCAATAATGGAGGCATGGCCCTTCCGCTGGCCTTGTTTTTAACTATACGATCCCAGGTGAAAAGGCATTTGAACCATAATAGTGTAAGGTGTGCCTCAACTTTTCTTAATAATGATGATCTGTTTTCGTTGTTGAATTCTCTTGGAGTTAGTAGGGAATTCCCTTGGATTTCATATTCCCTTGCCTGTAATGTATTGTACTGGATAGCTAGCCATCATTTCTCTCACTGTATGTCAGCTGGAGGACTAAAATGCAAGTTTATAATACTTCATGTATTTCAGAAGAGACAATAAGCTTTTTACATTGGCATGTGAAAAATGCAGTACAATATACTCATCGGAAAAAGAGCAGGACATCATCGGCCTGTGTACTGCCCAGTTCAATCACTAGAAGTGTAATTATACAAACCTCCCCGTAACCCATCACCTTGGAAGTGTGGAATAAAGTCGATTAGAGGCCAAAGGGCTGATATGCGCAGCACCTTGCAAAGACATACCATCTTCAGCCTCATGATTTTACTGAACCCTTGATCTCTCTACTGTAGAAGACTCTTTCCTTCCTTGTTTTCCTCAGCCAATCACATTTTTTTTCCTGAAGAATAGCCTTAGCCGCTACTATTCTAGTCACGGAAAAAGATTCTGCCAAAAGGTTAACACAGGGAGCTGAAATCAATGATTTGAATCCTGATTGAACTTTGAGCCACTCCTAAATTTTGATTTATGTTTGAGTTAAAAAAAATTCAGAGTTCAAACAAGCATAAATTGGGTGTCTACATCATTATAACAATATGATACATCGTCATCATAACATTTTTTTTCAATATAATATATTGAAGCAAAAGTGGTAATAAAACGGCCAATATAAAATGTAGGGGTAAGGTTTTGTAAATGTGCTGATTCGAATGAATGAGATAAATAATTAAAATATAAAAAGGCTGCAGATACCTTGGGTGATGAATAAACAATTGATTTACAGTGTAAACCTGAGAAAAATTGTAAATTGTTTATTGAGATGAAGTTTACCAGTATATTAATAAAATACAGTGGACATAGCGAACAGCGGTGGCTCTAGAAATTTACTGACAAGTGGTCCGAACCAAGTAAGCCAACTAAAGCCGTGGTCTTGGTCCCAGAATAAAGAATGCAGAATGTTCTTTGCCCAGAATTTATTCACTTTTAGGAGATCTTATATGAAAGACTAGCATTTAACTGTATATCAGGCATGAGCGAACCTACTTCTCAATATAAAATTTGTTTTCTGCATTAAAGATTTAAAATAATTCGTAAATTCTTACTTTTTGTATCGTATAGTCTGCATTGGGCCTACAGTACAGCAGATATTTATTTTCATGCGATATGGTACTGTTAGCTACCAGCCGCCTGGGCCTGCCACAAGTGGTCTGCTTACTATATAAATTTGCACTGTCTTTTTATGATTATTGCACAATATATTGTATAACATGTAAAAATTGTCTTTAGCACAATTGAATTTGTACTTGTCCTGGGACAAGTGAGAAAAATATGAATTTCCCTCATGTCTGTACTTGCTAATTCTTCATTAGGCTAAGTGAAAAGATATACGAGTACTTGTTTAGTGTCACCACCTGCCCCTGATTTATGCCTTGTTTGAATTTTGTTAAATTTTTGATTTTCTGAAAAGTACTATGAAAACACATAAGAAAGAAAATTCAAATCTGAGAAACGAATAAAAGTATCACTTTTAAAGCCAATTTTAAACAAGGAATCAACATCGGCTAAACAGGTGTTAACCAATGTGCACGCTAAATAGGCAGTATTACCACTGCGCACACTCAACAGCAGAGACCCTTTCAGATATTTGGTCCATTGTTCAATTCCATTTACTGTTCTTATGTTCCAACTGGAGGGTTGATATGCAAGTTACTTTCAGGTGAGATGTTGGGCTGGTAGTCCCATGTGTCAGGTGGTACTACTGTAATGAGCGCTGCTGTGATACTCATACAAAAGTACGCCAACCATCTCTATCAAAGTCAAGACATCTGGCACTGTATACCACCACACTTGTGCCACAGATGTCCATCACATTCATCCATCAGTCTAGGATTTTAATTGGAAGTCCCTATCCACCTTGTTCTGCAGGTCCCTGCAATACCTGATTTTCTATTCCATCGGCACGCATCGTCATTGTGACAAAATTTCCTTACCAAAATATTGTTCCAAGTGGTTAGGTCTGTTCCAATCTGCCCAGCTCCCATGTCGTTCTTTCAATGATATATGATCCTTGTTGGTTATAAAATAAAAATAACAAAATAAAAATATTTGTATGTGAAAATTGTAATATAATCTTATTGCATCAGATGCTAACCTTCAAAATGCTTCCTGATTTTGGTTATGCTGTGGTCAAACGAAACATATTCCTGATTAATTAACCCCAACAAGTTCCGTGTGAGATTTCCTGTGAGAATTGGTAAGCACATCGGAAATATTGGTATGGAATTTACCATTGATGAATGCTTTACATGGTTGCTATAATATGAGGCATTCTGTATTATGCCCTCTTGCAATCTGTGTTCTCCATTTGCTTCCTTCAAGTCGACAGTTATTTAAGTTTATTAAAATATTCATTTGCCAACCCATTCAAAGTCATTGCGAAAACATACACAGCTTTTCTGGTAAATGTCATAAGCAAGGTTTTTGTTTAGAGGATATTATTTATATTATTGAATAGTTTGTTTTGATTAAGTGTATTCTGCAGAGCGGACAGAGCAGTGGTACTGTGACTCCAGAAATTTGCTTACAAACCGTGGCGCATGTCGTACGGTCCGAACCAAGAGCCTCTTGGAGCCTTTGTCGGGGTCTCTAAATAAAAAAAATCCTTGTATGGTGCACAGGGAGAGTTTTTATGGCTTACTGTGGTCCAAATTGTGCGTTTGATCATAATATTAGGGATTTGCAATTAAAATAATCATTATTTGGATAGGAAAATTAAAATTTTTTGATCCGATGTCCTCCTCGTAGTGTCGGACGACTGGGGATCGAGGCCTATATATGGTGGAAAATTCCCCTCGCCTCCCGCTGGCACCACAATTCAATACTTTGTTATCTCCATATTTCACATTTTTAGAATGATTCGTGGGAATTTCTTTATATTTATAGACTTTTTTTTATAACAATAATAATTTTTTAGCAATATAGTGCTACAGTAGTGGAATAGCCCTGAGAAAACAAATAACAAGTAGGCAGATAAAACAAGATAAAAATATGTTGACAGTATTTCAGATTTTTTTCAGTCAGTTTCAGCTTGGGAACACATTATTTTGAGAATGTGATTGCTTTTCAGTGGCGTATTTAGAAGTCTTGAAATGGGGGTGCTGAATGAGGGGCGGGAAGGTGAAATGGGGTGGGGCTCGATGATCAGTTGAGGGGCGCTAATTCGCAAAATAAGGTGATTGTAGGGGATTTTTAACTACTTGATCGTGCCTAGATACGCCACATGCTTTTTAAACTAGTTTTATCTCAAACTGTCAAATGAATAAAAAACATTCAAATAAACTTTCACTTGTTTTATATAGATTAAGTGTTAAGAATCTAATTCATTATATTTTATGACGTTGTTACCTGTATCTGTATTTCATTGCATATTGATTTCATTATTGACAATTTATTCTTTTCAGATCAACGTGGCTGTAAAATGCTTAAAGAAGGAGACAATACTGCAACCTGGCTTTTTTGAAGATTTTGTGACAGAAGTGAATTCTATGCATGCATTGGAGAACCCATACCTGATACGACTTTATGGAGTAGTGCTGTCTTCGCCACTGAAAATGGTATAGTTATAGTTCTAGAATAAACCTTTGATTAATTTTTTATTTATTAAATTATACCTCACTATTTCCAATGGATTCATAGCACTGAGTGACAAATTCAATGTTATAACAAAAGTAATATTGATTCTGATACCCATTCCGATTTATACAGTATGCAATTTAAAAAAATAATTGAATTTAAAACCCCCTTAAGTCTATTTCTTAAACTAAAACATATGTTATGTATGTATGTTTGTATTAATGTAATGAAATTGATAATATTTCTGTTTTCTTTAATGATTCCTTAATTGAAATGACATGTTCTCAAAATCATTTTGTGTTTTCCCAATAAAATTATTTATTCTGTTTTGGATCATTCCTGATGATGACATAATTAATGTTGAAATATTGAATCCCGACACGATGGCGTGCATTTCGATACTTGGAGTATGTATTATACTATCTTATCTGAGATTAATCAGTGGACCTTTCTGTTTTGGAAGTAGTATGATAATTAAGGTGGTTCTAGAGGGAAATCCCTCCTTCCAGAGTAAAGCTCTGGCATTATTGGTATTTAAAATGGTATCTGAATAATTTGAATCAGCTGTTAGTTTGCTTTGATGCAGCATTTTATTTTAATGTTTTATTCGGTAGGCTACTCAAAATCCATAAAGCTGAAAACAGCTTAATTTCAATGGTGTCCTATAAACAAGCAATTATATTTTGTTTTAAAACGAAAGTGTACAATAAAACCCATTAACAAACATCATGGTTAATGCACATTATACCAAGGTGAATTTTTATTGCATGTTTATACTCATTTAATTTTTTAATTAATGGAAGATTATGCCAGTTTTTAATAGTACTATAATAAAAATTTTTCGAAGCTTAGCCTTTAATATTTGGAATACAAAATTTTCATTTGGTTTTCTAGTAGTATAACAGTGTTAAGAAATCTTTATTAAAAGTTATCAGTTTAAATATGGAGTATCCACGTAATTGTATATTTTGAAAGCATGAACAAGTCTGAGAAATTTAAACCTATCGTTTATATTAAGATCCAAGTATTGAAAGATTTTTTTTTCTGACTGATGTGTTTGAGATTTAGAATACTTCTGATTGACAGCTTTGATTGATTCACATGCGACTTCCAGGTGGCAATTGCTAGTGCTATTTCATAGGGAAGGAGTAATTAAACATCATCTTCATTTTGAAGACACTGTAGACTCTTATGCCATCAAAATTAATTGAAAGTTACTTTTAATGCAATTTATATTATTGTTTAATTCTCCTAAAGACTATTAAATGAAGCAACTTTAATCGAAACATTGAGACATTCTCTACCAACAAAAGTTCTTTTCTTTTCAGAACTTTCTATGTGGTGTACCGCAAGCATTAATATATTATTATTGCTACAATTTTTATGTAAATTTTGAATTTTTGGTTTGTGTTTACAGGTGACGGAACTAGCTCCACATGGCGCCCTCATTGACAGGCTCCATAAAGAGAACGAAAAGATGTTGATAAGCATGTTACATGAATACGCAATCCAGATAGCTAGTGGAATGAATTATCTGGAAACAAAGAGGTTTATCCATCGTGATTTAGCTGCGAGGAACATCTTGCTGGCCTCAAAAGATAAAGTGAGTTATACTCAACTTATTTCAATTACAAAATAAACTAAAGTTCTGTCCAGACAAAAAAAATTATTAGTTTATCACCTCCTCCCCATCGCTTTTGGGGGGTATTCTGATTTTTAAAAAAAATTTTTCTCCAATCAACATATATTTTTATTTCAAACTGTTGTTTTTCTATCTTTTTTCACCTGAAAAGCTCAGGATTTCTTGCAAATATGTTTACTGGTACAACAAAAACATATTTTTAAATATAAATTTGATACCATTTTTGTGACTTTTTATATGTATGTGTCCCTAACCATCGATTAACTTGTAAACATCGGTAAAATGGGGGCGGGGTTAGCAAAAAAAAAACTCCCTCCCTCATCAGTTTTTATTCTCTGATATAGGGTGATAAACTATTAATTTTTTTATGGGGCCTTAAAACCATACTTGTAAATTATGTATTTGCCCCAATATTAGTATTGATAAATACGACAGATTAATTTTATCTGATACGATATTATTCCTCAATGTTATGGTACAGTTATGTACGGTAAGTTTGATTTTAAAACTTAGCAGATTAGCTCAGGAAGCTACACTAATAGTGGTAGCCACATTGAATGCATACTGCTCCTCCCTTCCTCTATTTTTGATTATATCATTGTTAACATATTTCATAATACAGACTATGATATTACGAAAGTGAAAGATAATTTCATAGGATTTGAGATTAAAATCTAAAATAATAAGGAACATAAACCTACAGGAATCTCTATTAGTATGTGTGTGTTGAATACAAGTGTAACTGCATTGTAGTCCTGCTATAGAACATTATAATGAATGACAATAGAACTTTTAAGACTAGCTATAAAATTTGTGTGTCTGCTGGTTGCAGCTTTTTTATTTATTTTTTTTTATGTGATACACTTTTGAGATTAAAATCTAAAATAATAAGGAACATAAACCTACAGGAATCTCTATTATTATGTGTGTGTTGAATACAAGTGTAAAAACTGCATTGTAGTCCTGCTATAGAACATAAGAAATGACAATAGCACTTTTAAGACTAGCTATAAAATTTGTGTGTCTGCTGGTTGCAGCTTAAAAAAAAAAATTTATTTAATTTTTTTTTATGTGATACACCTATATTTAACTGAAGAATTTTTTTTTCAAGTATGATTCGAAAATTAAAAAATGTTTAAATATATTATCATTATGGTAACTAATTAGTATGTTTAAGAAAGGCATCTTGTTGTAGGCCTATTTCTAACCAATTTATCTAGCCTGTCAGTAGCTGCTTAAAATTGGCTATTGATTAGTGCTAGTTTAATTGTATTGTGTTTGATTATATTCAACAAATTTATTTATAATTTTAGTAATAATTTTAATAATTACAAATTAATAGATGTTTACATGTAACTTTAACGCAAAATTAATTGACAATAAAGATCACATTTTTGGGTCAATCATAGAAGTATTTTCAAGATCAAGTGAACAATAAAATATAAAAATACCTATGTAGGTGACAGTAAGTAGGATTAACAATAGTCACATGTTTATACCTATTATTTCTTATAGGTAGTATCATGGATTTGAAAAGTGATTATCTCCATGCTAGGGTAATAGTTTATTATATAATTTAATAATGACAATTTTAATTATGATTTGGTTGACTTTTTACATCATAAGGAGTGTATGACAGTGTTGGAGTGTACATTTGACCTTTAACTTGCAACATCAGTTTACATGGAATAGCTTATCACATTGTCAAGGAAAACCAGTTATAGTAGGTATGGTATTGTGGTGAATGATTGGATGAATGATTGGATATTCTATGTATTAAACTAATGAATTAATTAAGAATACTGTAGCTGTGAATAGTGGAATGAAAGGGGGACTTCCCATCTTAGTCTGTAATATCAAATGTTCTTGGTGTTTTACACTGTTTATATTGATTTTGGCTTTTGACACACAGAATATTACATCAATAACCTTTTAAAATTATTTAAAAAAAAAATTGTTTTCTGATTGAGATGTAGACGTACACAACTATTTTCTCCATTATACTGACTAACAGCACCCATTCACACATGAAGCAGAGACACATGCAATACTTTATTTCAGACAGAGTTACATTATACAGTTTGTTAGGTATCACCCAAGTGATAGATTATCACCACTATTAATTGGTGTCCTGATTTTGATTTTCCCGGCCATGATAAAATCTCCCAGAAAGGTTAATTCAGATCCATTTATTAGTTTTTGCATGGTTTTTGAGATATCTAGGTTTTTGGGATATTTGGTCTGGGATGTTTCCCTTTGAATAGTTCTCATATACCCACACCCTCTCCGGATTGTCACCAAATTTAATCATATCTTTATTGGATCTTGACAAATGTATCTTGACAAGCGTTTCTGGACAGTCTGACGATCAATTGGTAAGTTTTTTTAGATGTTTAGGTTTGGGACACAAACACGTTATATGAACCCCAAATTCACACCCGAATCAGATCAGTTGATCACTTTATGAGATATCAGTGTGGGGTTTGTTTCCATTTACTTGATCCCCACATCCACATCCCACTCCAAATTGTCACTAATATTGAAGTGGCACATCTTTGATATAGTGGACAAATTCGGGAAAAGATCCAAGCATGGAAAGTTACCAAAGTGCTGGGCAGAAAAAGTCCATGCAAAAAGACTGGAAAACAATATGCAGCAAAGACAAGCCAAACCAGTCGCTCATCACATAAGTTAATTTTTATCTGCCTTTAAAGTTTACAATTTTGGGGAATTTTCAGGCAGAGTCCATTACCAAAGCATTAAAAAATGTTGTTTAATGTCGAAAATGGAAAAAATAACATCATAGCTTGATGTATAGATAATCAGTTTGGTTTAGTGCAATAAAATAGATTTTGAAATTGTTGACATTTTAATATGTTTTGGCCATTATCCCCAAAACAGGATTTGCAAGCAGTGACTGGTTTGGTATTGTATTCACCACAAATAAGCCAATAGACATTAACATAAATTAAATAACATCTGAAATATTGATCTGAAATTCCTAGAAATATATTATTCAATATGATTCATTGGATACCCTGCCAAGCATAGGCTAAGCCAGACAGCCGCCCGGCCGTCTTTTGGACGGCCTACAATTATTTAGGATGACCACTTTTACCGTGACGGCTTGGACGGCTTGTTCTAATTAACTCAGCCTAGCCTAATTGGGCTTGGTCTACCATTAGCAAATTCTTAATATTCTTCAAATCTATCGAATGTTACATTATACTAAGCTAAATCATATTTACGTTTGATAAAATCAACCTTTATTGATTGAATGTACGTTGTTTTCGTACCAATATTCGGTGGTACCAAAAATGTAAGGCTTTGCCTCCCGTTGAAAAGTTCACTTGCAACATGTGTTGTGTTAAAAACATCAATACCCCCCTGGAAAATGGACGGCTCTGAGTTGCCCACAACGCATGCATGTGGCACCCTGCAATACAATACAGTACTTGAGATTCAGTTCCCCAACATAATATTGTTGGTTTTCGTAACTCTCTGGTTATAATTAATTCATGAAATACCTTAAAGAATATTTCTTGTTAACTTCACAAGTTAAACTTTATTAGTCAAAAAAACAATACAGTAGGTCTGGCCTATCTCTTGATTCGGAGGACTGAGAGTAGAATTTACACTAGACTAAGGCGAGAGATGAAGATGCACCTGCATTAGCCTAGAAACATTATGCAAGTATACCGTAGCCGTGCGTAATCTATGTCTATAAATGAAATATCTTTGTGAACACTATTCCGTTGAATACAAAATTCCAACATTTAAACATCTTTAATTTAAATGCCATCTAAACATCATAATTTCTATTTTTTTCTTATGTTTGGGAAAGGGCATGGCCCACCCATCGCTTGAGTGCCATGCCCACTGGCTTACATTTTGGACGGCCTATTTCGTTTTTCTGGCTAATCCACTGCTGCCAAGGAAAAAAGAAACCGATGTGACACAGAGGCAATTCCCAATTATACTGGACCATAGCCATACATTTAGTGGTAATAAAATAACAATTAAAATATAGTAGTTTAATAGTACTGATAATATTATTACGATTGTCTGGTATCTTGTAATATAGATACAGTACTACAGTACGTCTGTATGGGCTTTTAACAAAGGTCTAGAAATATGGTTATCTGGGGAATTGTTTGTGCAACTGAAACATTTTGGTAAGAATTTTGAGAGTTTTTCCAGATTTTACTTCAGGCAGCATCTGAATACCATAATAATGAATTTTTTCCTACATATGGCAATATTTGGCAATGTAGGCTCACTTATTTTAAAGTTGCAAAATATATGAAACTTCGAATCATTTTTTGCAATATTGCAAATAACACACTGAAAATGAATTTCCAATTTAAATTTCTATGGTAATGAATTAATAGTTGTGTTTCTATAGGTCTTGAATGAAAATTGACCAACAGTAAGTTTTTCTTATTGCCTTTTTATATTTTTAAATAGCTACTTCAGTGTAACTTTAACTAATTGAAATTTATTTAATAAAAAAGATTATAAATAGAAAATTTTGATGTAATTAATTTTTCCTTAGTCTTTACGGGAATTTTGCAATAACATTTATTTTCTCGATGATTTTGGTGTTTTTCTTAAGTTTTTATCAAATTGATGTCCTTTAAATGTGTACACTGTATTTTGATTAATTTTTCTGAACTGTTTACTTGTTTTATCCAATCATATAATGTATTAATTGACTGCAATAGAGTTGAATTTCAATTTGAATAATATGTGGCAACGACAAGCCAAACCAGTCACTCGTCGCAAAAATCGATTTTGAGTTATTAATACAGTGTTATAGAGTAAAAATTTAGCTATAAAATGGTAAAAAATCATTCAAATCGGACATTTCCTTATGAAGTTACAAGCGATTAAACACACAGCTGTTTAAAGAACTATATATGAGAAATCAGCCTTCAAAGTTTATGATTTCAGGCATTTCT